AGCCCATACTTTTTGGTATCAGGTCGGCGATGCTATCCGCATGCATGTGAACATTTATCTAAATAGCCATTCGGCGGTCACGCGAGCCCGGCAGATGAGAGCATTGCGAGCGGCGCTGCAGCAATTCAGCAGTGAGGTGCCCAATGCCCGGGTGGAATACATTATCGGGGGTGACCGTAATTTCGTCGTGGACCCTATTCAACATTCATCTTCGCAGGGCACTTGTTGGCACCCAGGCGGGCACGTGCTAGATGCCTGGAACGATCTCCTGGGCGCCCTCCAAGCTACCCCAGGAGGTGAGGTTGAAGAGGCGACTCTTCGCAGGGCTGGGGTGAATCGCGTGGGCAGCCGGTAGTGGACGGCTAACGCTCTTGATTTTGGACGCGTCTGTTGCGATACGTTGGGACATGCGCATCGCCAGCAGCACGTGCACATTGTGAGATCCAAACCTCATGCGTGCGCCTCTGTTCACCTTCCAGTTGCAGTCACTTTCATGAGGCGGCCGGCGAGGAAACGACGCACGCGTCAGACATCTGTCCACAAGCTCGTGCTTGATTGGCTCATGTATGACACTCGTCTCTTGTCTACCTTTGCTGAAGCTACTCGTGCAAAGGTGGCCTGGCAGGAAAAGCGCCGGTCTGAGCGGTTTGTGCGAGTTCTGGGGCCTTGTTGGGCGTCTGCGGACATGTCTAGAAAGGAGGAGCGTTGTCTTGCCCACCTTGCTTCGCATAAGTTCGATGTCACGCTTTGTGCCGATACTGCCGCGCGGGAGCGAAGGGCTGTCTTGCCGGCCACCTTTACCAGCGGGATCTGATTACGACATGCTCCGTAGCACAGTCCAGGTGGAGGGTGCCGAGAGATGGCCGGCCCATCTGCGCGAGCTGCGCGATGATGTGGTCCGCGAAAGCGCATCCCAAACCGAGCAGGACCAGAGTACAGCCGGGCAGGTGGAAGCAATGGTTGGTGATTCGATCTCTGCAGGTCGTTCTTTCATGGGGTCCAGGCTGCACGCGGGCGTTGTAGCTGACGTGGCTGCTCTTTGCAAATCTGAGCGTTTCCAGCTGGAAAGGCTGTGGGACGCAAGCGCACATGATTTTGTTGACAGCGTGCCTGACATTGGCCGATGTTCGCGCCAAGCCGCTCTCGATCGCAAGGCTGCGTGGAGCGGCAGCCCACGGAGCTTCGACCGGGTTTTGCGAGGATGGGACGTCGACCTCGCGGGAGCAAGTGGTGGGCTGTCGCTACCCGACACCATTGCCCTTCTACTCGCAGTCCCTGGGCACAAGTCACCGGGCACGACTGGTGTGAGAGGGCGCTTGTACAAGCTGCACGCGGGTATTTTGGCTCCTGTTTTCATGGGAGCATTTCAGGAAGTAACAGTCGGTGGAGCAGACATCCCGCAGCACCTGGTAGACTTCGTCTGGCATGCTATGCCTAAGCGCCTGGGGGCGGATGAAGTGAAAGACGTGCGCGACTTTGAGTTACCAAACGAGGACGCGAAAGTACTGGGCTGCATGTTCGCTCGCATTCTCGACGACGCATGCGCCCCGCAATTGCGCCGTCGGCAACAAGCCTCCGTCAGTGGAGGGCAATTTGTCGCGACATTGTTGGGGTGTCAGAAGCCATTGCAGACGCCCAAAGGCACCCGAACACATTGCGTTTCTTGCTCTTCTTGGATTGTTCGAAAGGCTTCAACCTGTTGTCATGGGAATGGAAGCGAGTTGTCTTCGAGCACAGTGGCCTTCCGCAGCCGCTGTTGCGTGGGATCGCTTCGCTCATGCACGCCCACCGGGCTTTTCTTAACCTGGGCGGGAATGTATTTCCGCCCATGGTTTTGATGGCCGGGTACAGCCAAGGGCACCCTTTCAGCGTCTATATTTACATCATTGCAGTTGATCCGTTCCTCTTCCAGGCGTCGCGCCTCGCCGGTGTTATTGGAATTTGGGGGTTCTGCGACGATTGGAAACTTGACGTGGCCGTGTCCAGCGCTTTTCTGCTGGTTGTTCACTTGACTGCCGCCTTCGAGGCGGCATCTGGGCAGTCCATCAATCGGCGAAAGACCGCTTGGATTCCCAACCGCCCTCTCACGGAGGGGGAGAACGCCAGCCTGCTTTCAGTATGGCCGGACGCGCACGTGGTCACTAAACATAATTTGTTCGGCTTCTGGTTCGGCCCAGATGCTACTCTTGAGGACATGCGTGGCCCTTTGGACAAGCTGCGAGAGCGATTGCGCTTGCTCCGTCGAGCGCGCAACAGCCTTGCCACGCGCATCCTGGCGTGGAACGTCTTTGCTGAGCCCATCCTGTCATGCGTCGCAATGTTTGCTGTCTTCGACGACGTGCCCACTGTAAGCGCTGTGCGTGCCATGGCCTCCGCCTTCCTAGAACGAATCACATGCTGCCCGTTTCAGCTTCTCTGCCATGCGCGCGCGTTGTTTCGAATTAGTGGAGGCACGGGACCCCTTCCTTGCAAACCTTGCCGGCCTCGTGGCGGCGGCTCTCTGCGCTCTGGGGCCTCACCTGCGCCCCAGATAGCGCCTTGGCACGGATGGGGGCGCGAGGCACAGGCGCGAGGATTGCGATCCCGGTCGTTCTTCGCTCAGGGCTTCTTTGCTTCTCATCGCATCACGGGGCGCGCAGTCACTGCTGTTCTCCACGAGACGCTGCCTGGCCGTGGCAGCGGTCGATCCGCGAGCCGGATCTTGTACCGAGCTCTCTTGGGCAGCGAACGACCGCTAGCTCGTGCGCTCGTGGTCGCTCGGCTCCGGGCGCGCGGATTGGATTGGGGTCTTGTCGAACGCAATTTGCGGCACATGCCGTCTACGGTGCCAGGCGAGCCCCGGATGGCGATGATGCGCAGGCTGCTCAACGGGGAACTCGTCCCGGCGGCTTTCGGCTGCCTTTGGGCCACAAGTCCGACCGTGCCTATTCTACGTGGAACCATCTGCAGACAGCGTTCAACACCGGGATGTGTGCACCGTCCTGCGAGCTTTCCACCAGCAGCTTTCTGCCGATCACGCTGCCCTCAGCGTGGCCGCGCTCTGGCTGCAAACAGATGCGACCGGAGGGCACCAGTTGCAGTGCATTCTCTCCTGCTGCAGCGTGGTAGCTCGTTTGCGTCGTCTCCTCTTGCAAGGTTGGGAGTTTCATTGCTTGGGAGATATGCTTACACACGCGCGCCGTCTCCCTGACGACCCGTGGATAACGGGCAGCTGTGCAAGCGCGTCACGAGCTGAACGACGTGCCATGCGCGCCCGCCAGCCGCCAACCGTCTTTGAGGGCTGGGCCACTTATGCCTTCGATGGCGCAGCCAGAGGTCAGGGTGGTACAGGCGGTCGCGCTTCATCCTGCGGCTGCGTGCGTTACCAGGTGGGCACGCGGCGCGTCGTTGCCTCATGCGGCAGTTTTCTGGGGGACGCCACTAACAATTCTGCGGAATATGCTGGGCTTCATCTTGCAGTCCGCCACGCGCTACAGCACCCCGTGCGGCGCGTGCTGTTCCAAGTGGACTCTCTGCTTGTCGCGTGTCAGCTCTCTTGTGAGTGGCGGTGCCTGTCGGCAGATCTCAAAGCAGCCTACGAGCGAGGTTTGGAGCTTCTGTCGACTCTGCGGTCTATGGCCGGCGTGGACGAAGTGGAAGTGTGCAATTTGTACCGCAAGTTCAATGCCGACGCAGACGGCGTATGCAAATGCAGTGCTTGCGTTGGTTGATGCCGGGATTGCCCCAGATGTCAGCAGGCAGTATTGCAGCAGGAATTGGGATCCTTTCTCGAAGCCCAGTTCATAGCTGAACCGTCGGGCGAGGTACTCGTCGCCCTCCCAACTTCCCCGCCGTCTGGCCTCCCCCCTCTTGCCCCTTTCCCCCTCTTTGTCGGTTCCCCGGCTTCGCTGTTTCTTCTTGCCCTGCCTTTTGGGCTGGCGCTACTCCCTCTAAACTTCGGTTTGTCCGGCAGCTGCACCCGAACCGATCTGGTAGTCATTGGATTGTATCTGACGATTTTCATCGCAACTTCGATGGACATCTAATCGTCCAAGCTGCCTCTCGGCTAACAGCCAACATCCAGCTGAACACACGCATCCTCGTCTCACAGCAGGTGTCGCTTGTGCCAACGACTAAACACCAGACGATCTTATAAGCAAGCGTGTCTTCGTGCGGAACACGACCTAGATGATGATCCGTTGCGGAAGAAAAAATCCTCCTCCTCCTCTTCCTCTCCGTCTTTCTGGTGCATTTGTTTAGAGCCGCATCGATCCGTGATAGTCCGAGGGTCCGAAGCCCGGCGCAGAAGCCCGGTGCGAAAAAAGTGCAAAGCCGGGGTCTCAGGGCAGGTCCTCTTCGCCGTCGCCTTCCCCCTTGCAGTCGACCTGCATAGTAAGGATGGGCAACCTTCACAAGGGTACCCTTGCATTCTTGCCTCCTCGGCCCATCTTGGGCCACTTTCGTTGGCCGCGCCCCGCTCGAGAGGCTTCGGAGTGGGCGTCCAGGGCCCGTACATCTTTATCGCGCATGTTTCCTGTACGGGTTGATTGTAGCTAGCTTGGAGCATGGGGCACACCATGAGGAAGGGCCGCCGCCGTCAGAAAGGAGGGAGTCTGCCAAATTTGTTCGTCTACAGACGCCGACGCCCAGCTCGCCGAACATACGGTTACAAACCCAGGGTTGGGGCACAGGCAACAGAGATGTCCCAGACCTCGTCAAGGATGCTCGCAGATTCTTGGCAATATCGTTACCCTTCGAGGATGAAGAGAAAAAGGGGACTGCTGCAAAGTCCAGACGCCGTCTCCAAAGCACTCCAACCCTTGGTTTTGCCGTCTGCCCCATATTATCCAGGGACGAAGAACCAACCCGACCAGAACGTGTGGTTTCGAAACAAGCATGTGCGTTTGCTGAAGAGCCCTGTCCTGTTCGTTTCTTCGATTGAAAGGATCGCTTGATGGTTTCGGCCTTCCATCGCTCTCCGCCAGCCCCTTCTGACTCTGCCCATTCCCCCCCTTCGTCAGGCATGGTCTCGGGCAGACGCTGGCCGCTGCAGACTGCGCATTGCGCGCGTGTGGAAGCGGCGGCGCTTGGGGCGTCGCCTTGGCAGTCTTCGAGGACGCATTGGACGGGCTGCTGGCGTGCGCCGAGGCAGGCTTGCGCGATGCCACCAGCGCCAATTTCCCGTCACATGAAAAGTCTTCAACGTAGATGTGGGCTCCTGGTTGCCTTACAGCAAACTGCCGTTGGTCAAGAATGTTTCCCATGCTCTCATGACGGCACCCCCTTTTCCCTGCCTCGGGGGGACTCCTGCCGTGATGTCAAAAGGCCGATGGCATCGATGCCATGCCAGGCCTCCGAAGTCCAAAATCGGTCTCCAGCAAAAGGAGAAGCGGCGAGGGGAACCGGGGATGGGGACCCAGAAGGAGAGGGAGGGACTCTTTCTGCTGCGCTCCCTGGCAGACGGATTCGCCACATTCCTTCTGCTCTTGGTTTCTGCACCTAATACCAGGTTCCCTTTCTGTGTTGAGTGAGGCGCTGGGGCGAGCCCGCTCCTTTCTGGTTCACGCCGAGGTAGTCGCCCGGCTTTCAGATTGCCAACGACCCAACCAATCTCCTCCCCCCTTGCGTCCGCAGAAGGTATCCATCGGAGCTTAGGCGTCAAAATGAGGTGTCCCCAACGCGGAGTTCGTTTTCGGTTTGTATCGCGCGTGCGGGCGAGGCGACGTTGCGCGATAGCTATGATATGTCAGCTGAGGCTACGGCCAAGTGGTACCACAAGTTTCCATCCCGTCCCGTCCCGCAGTTGCCCGGCGATTGTTCCGCGGCTGTCGCGTGATTGTCCCGTGGTTGTCTCACGGTTGTTTTGCCAGTGTTCGATTGGTGTTTCGTGGTGGTTGTCCCACGCTTGATTGATACATCGAAAGTTACATCGATTGATAGTTCGTGCTTTTCGATCGGCAGATTGATCGTGGTACTCATACATAGGGAGGTAGCGGGAGGGGTATGTAGTCAGGTCGAAATGTTGGTAGTGAGTTCGATTGATGTATTAGTGGCGATACCGGTAGTTTGGCAGTGAGAACATGTATTGTGGTGTGTTGGTGAATTGATCGCAAGAGAAATAGATCGTAATAACGATTTACAGTGAGGTCGGGAGATACAAATAAACCAACCAGATCGAACGCCAATAGCAAACCCAAGGTTGAGGCCAATCTATGCCCCCTTCGAAGGGTGGTCTATGAGGTGCACCGGTGTGCTTGGTCAGAGCAATCCTGGGCGTTTGCATCGTGTGTGATCTCTCTTGACCGTGGCCACGAGAGTCTACACACCTTTCCAGGGCCCAGGACGGCCCTGGCCAAGCATGGTGGTGGTCTGTAGAAGCCTGTTGTTAGGGAAGCGCAAACATGCATTGAGGCGCGTGGATTGACGACGGCTCCCGTTTCCATACGACATCGGGGCGATGCGTCTCCAAATCAGGTGAGCGACGCCCAAAAACGGGGTCGTCTGCGCCGACATTGGCGCGAAAGCTACCCGCGTAAGGTCGCGCGTGAGCGCCCTTGCTTCAAACGTGGCGTGCCGCACGGGCGGCCCTCGTAAGCCACCGCGTAAGGTCGCTGCGCCATCTCGCGCAAGACCCGTTTTTGATCGTCGCTCAGGTGGCGCCGGCCTCATGTTTTGGTCGGTACTTTCGCCGAGGAGGAGGAGGAGGAGGAGGAGGAGGAGGAGGAAAAG